TGGGTCAAAGGAGATGTACTGTTTGGTATCCAAGTTACTTTCCAGAGTAGTTGTACCCATTCATAGATCTACTGATGGTATATCAATGTGCCCTTTTTTTCAGCTTTTTAAATCTTTAACAATCAGATGGGTGTGAGATGATATCTCAGAAGTGCTTTAATTTGAATTTCTTTACTTATTAGTGATTTGGAGGAGGAATTTTTCCCTCACATGGCTGTAGTCTGGGTTTCTTCCCTCGAGAGTTACATCTTTAATTCTTCAAAGGGTGTAGGGTTCCACATCACACTTCAATGTAGCGACATCAATAAAATGATAATGTTCATAAGCCAGACCTTTACTTTCATAGAAAGCTTGTGGTTAGTAAAACAGTTCCCTACTAATACCTTTGACAAGGATGATCTTGATTCAGGTTTAGAATCACAAATATAATTATATGGATATATTTCATATAGATGTTTTTGATAACTTTTGTTTTTACACCACCAAAATATCCCCCAATATCCCTCCTCCCACCCCTTCCCAGAGAGTATTCCATATAACAAAGAATGTTTTTAAGGAAAAAAAAGAGGAAGAAAAGAAAAATTGAGGAAAACTAATCAATATAATCCCAAAGTCTGAAAATATATGGAATGTTCCATACCCATGGAGATTCTGCCTCCAAAGGAGTGGGCTGGAGGTGTCTAATCCTCTCTTCTTTGGTACCATGTTTGTTCTTTGTAATTTTGCTACCTTCATTTTTGATTATTTTGTGGCTTTTGTTCTTTCTATTTACATTGTTGTAGTCATTGAATATATTGTTTTCTTGGTTCTGCTCATTTCACTCTGAATCAATCCATGTAAGTCATGTTTCATTGTACTTACCATACTCATCTTTTCTTACAGCACAGTGATATTCCATTACATTCATGGATCACAATAATTTTAGCCATTCCCCAATCAATGGGTATGTATTTTCTTTACAGTTCTTTGCTACCACAAAAAAGTATTCTTATAAATATTTTGGTATGGGAGTATCTCTTTTTATTAATAATCTTGGATGCTTTTTTGGTGTTAATGAAGTCTTAGGTTTTTTTCCCCTCAGTTTTTGGTAACTTTCCCTTTTTCGGTTATTTTATTGGTCCCCTACAATCCCATAATCAATATTTGAAATTAGCATAAAAACTTTTTTATTTATCATAAAAATTACAACAGGTAGAAAATAATTTTTCATGAAATAAACTTACACTAACAATACTAGTATATTGCTTTTCATCATTAATTGTTTTACCTTTTAAAATATTTTGCTGATATTATGCTCCTTAGTTTTTGAAGCTATCACTTACAAATATTATCCTTGAGATATACACCTAATAGTGGGCTTTCAAAATGATTCAACTGACTTTGCAAAAGTAATAAATAATTTTTTAAGACAATCAAGCCAATGGATCTCTGTAGCCAGGAGCAATGTCACATTGACCACACTGGACAGCACCCTCTTCAAACATTGTTCCAATAACCCATCAGGTCCATCATATTTAAATGCCTTCCAAGTTCCTAAAAAGTGAAAGCCTCCCCACCCTCTAAACATTCCATTTACATTATTATTATCATCTAACTAATACGGAGGAAGAGGGTTAATCCACTCTTAAATCCCATCGAGAAGACTGTCCCAAATTCAACCTGAAGTAAAGCATCCTTGCAGTGTTAGACTCCCATATCCAAACCATCCAATTTCTCCAGGCTCCCCTTCCTGTGTATCACTTTTTCCTCATCAGGAGGTGGTATAGGTGGCATAGTGGATAAGGTGCAAGCTGGAACACTTGAGTTCAAATCCTTCTTCAGATACTTACTAACTATGTGACCCTGAGCAAGTCACTTAAATACTGTCTGTCTCAGTTTCCTCATCTTTAAAAATGAGAATAATAATAGCACCTACCTCCCAGAGATGCTGTGAGGATTAAATGAGACAATATTTTCAAAATGTTTATAAAATGCTTTGCAAATCTTAAAGCACTCTATAAATGCTAGTTATTAATATTATTTTCATCATTACTCTAACTAGAAGATCATTCTGATCAAATTCTTTCAACCATTTCACATGTTCTATTCCAGGGCTAAGTAGATCAGGCCAAGCAGTCATTCAGGCTCAGGACTGAAATGCAATGAGACACTTGTGGGCTTTTTAACTTAACACATAGAAGTTTACTCATTAATTAAAAGGGGAATCAATAAAAATACAACATTGGTTCAAGAGGACATACCTCCCCTTTGCCTCTGCATCTGTAGTTTGTGATTAAAGAAGTATGTTGGTTTAAACAGCAGAAAAAGCCATGAAGCCTGAGGAATCTCAACTTCCCATAAGTCGAGCTTTGTTTACTTCAGGTATCCAAGAACACATGTCAGTGGTTCAAACTCTGGTCCTCCCAGACCAAAGGTGTCAAACATGTGGCCGGCAGTCTATATGTGGCCCACAAGACTCCTGAGTATGGCCCACAGATTAAAATGTAGTTTCCAATTGATTTTAATGTGTCTCTGTGTGTATTTGACATATATATTACATTATATATATGTATGTATGTATGTATGTAGATATGGTTTTCTAAATCAACATGCATCCTGCAAGGATTCTTAAATATGGTTTTGAGGCCCCCATTTCTGTTTCAGCTTGAAATCACTGCTCCAGATCAATCAAAGTCCCTACGCTGGGATGGCCTCCTTCTCCTTTAAAGAAAAACCATCCCAGCCTATGGAAAACAATGCAACTCCTAGCACTTAGTATAAGAATATAAAAACAAAAAATGACTTAAAAGAAGAAATATAAAATTGTAAACCAGAAATAAAAATTCCCTAAGCAAATTATTTTATTTCATTTGAAATGGTTTATTTATTTCAGTACTTTAAGGATCCATTATTTCACTGGCATAAATACATTTCCCCCCGACACAGATCATGAACTCCACACCTGAATAAAGTCTCTGTGAATTTCTAATATTGGAAAAAATTCACCCTTTGGTGGCCAATGTTCTGGTGATGAGCCTCTCTAGACTTAAGTATGCTGGCCCTTAAGCAACAGACCCACAGCCAGACCTGTGTTTGAAACCTTGGTAGCTGAGTAGGACTTGTTAGAGATTGCATTCTACATAGCTTTTGAGAATGAATGAAAGAACGATGATTTCTTATGTACCTACTATGTGCCACCCACTGTGCTCGATGTTGGAAGTAAAAATAAGAATATGAAACAGTTTCTCCCCTCAAAAACCTTACATTCTAAATAGGGAAAGACAACATATACAGGAGAGTGTTGACCAAGGTATTATATTTTGGCCTGGGGAATTGATCACCCTTTCCAGAAGAAATTGTATTATTAGTGTTACTACTATTCCCAGAGAAAGAGGTGTAAAGAGGATATGGGGGTCTGCATGTCAGCAACATGTAAGATGGCAAGATGTATGAAGCAGATAAATGGAGGGGATGTGAAACATGGTCAGGTCAGCTGGATATAGTGGATTAGATGAGTTTGCACTCACTCATTGAATTAGAGAGCTTAGCCACTGGGCAGAATTCCAAAGCTATTCCAAGTCAACTCTGCCTGGGAAGGGGCAAATGATTTCAGGATGTCTGTTCTAGAAAATACTGTTCCAGGTAAGGAGAAGGAGAAAGCAGCAGCAGAGCAGATGGCAAGACATGAGGGGGGGATGGATGGATGAGATAAAAACCTACGGTCACCTCCAGTGTAGATTGAGGCATTGGAGTAAGACAAGTAGAGAAGAAAAATTATTTTAAATTGTTTGAAAATGTTTCTGTGAAGCTTTATTCCCAGGTGGGCAAAGCTCCTTGTGTAAAATCTACAAAGGATATATGAGCATTATGTACATGGTAAGTCAGGAAAATTGCATGTACATAATTAGTACATCATTATGGATGTGACATATAAAGTGATAAGGAAACTTCACACTCTCCGGTGACATTGTTTGGTTCTTGAGGGCAGAGAAATACACTTACCAGTAACTTTAAGAATCAGGTGGGTGGTTTGTTCCTAGCAGGGGTGATATTTCTATTGTTGAATAACTAATAAGGATATGATTGCATATGGATTGATATGGGTGAGTCTAATTTCTGTTACTGATCATACATAGTACATTACAATTTCTACAGCCTGCCATAACCTTCTAGTCTTGGTCTGAGGACATTGAAGGTTTTCCTTTTCTTCTTTTGACTGCTGATGCTGTTAGGAAACAGAAGACTTCAATCTTCTAAACAACTTCTAGACAACTACACCCTGACAGACAGTTACAGAAACTATCTGATTCCTGAGGAGTCAAGCCCACCATATCCCAAGCAGCAGCAGCAAGTACAATGTAGAAAGTGCAGTGAAAGACTGAGCAAATTCCCTCTTCCTGATGAACTGGGGGAATGAGAGGAAATTGACTATCTAGCTTCCCTTTCAAATGGAAATAACACAATAATGGAGGTGGGTGGTGAGAAGTTAGACTCACAACTTCTCATCTCTGGAAAGTTGGGAAAAAACCAGGTAACTTGCTTGGGCAATGGAAGTTGGAGATATCATTGCTAATACATGTCCTTTATATCACAATGTTTGCTGCTTGGAATGAATTACGTTCTTTACTACTTGCATGAGGACTAACATGTGTGTATTCCTAAATAAATGATAAGCTTACATGCACCCTCAGATAGGAGAGACCACCAATGAAAAATTATTTTAAACAACTGAGTTTCCTTTCATCATCAGCTCACTAGTAAACTACCAATCAAATTATATAGTAAAAAAAATTTTTTTTCAGAAATTAATCACCAGCTACAGTGACTGGCCTGGAGTCAGGAAGACCTGAGTTCATATTTGGCCTCAGACACTTACTAGCTGTGTGCCTCTAGACAAATCACTTAACTCTGTTTGCCTCAATTTCTTTATTTGTAAAATGAATTGGAAAAGGAAATGGCAAACCACATTGCCAAGAACACACCAAATAGGGTCACAATCAGTCCAACATGACTGAAGCTACTAAACAACAACAACAACAGCATGAAAATTAAGTGATTTATTAACATATCTGGATCTAAGGGGAAATGGGGGATTTCTAGCAGTATGGAGACAATAAACTACTGGAAATATTTGGTCCAGGGTGTGATAGGGGAAACAAGGTACCCTCGATAGGAACCACATATCTTCCCCAGCCCCTAGCCCTGCAGCATATAAAGTAAACCTCACTGTTGGAGGCCCCGAGATAGGGAGTGAGGCAGGAGCCCCAGGTGCCGGGATTAAGCACAGGTTTCAGATGCCTGGGGAGCACTGTGCTTTAGCACATAAGTAGGTGGCTGAGTCTTCTGGTTGGGAGGCTGTGATATGCAGGGAGCTTTGCTGGTCTTTAGTGTTGAGAGTGACTGTTAATCTTCCATTGTGTTTCACTTCCCCACTTGTAATCAAAACAAATAAATTCACCAGGCTTTTCCTTAGATCCTGCCTGTACCAATGCAGGTAATCTGAACCCCTGCTTGAATAATTACAGTAGAAGGTAGCATTCATTCCCTCTTGAATAGTCAGGGTTCGTGGGCTCTGCTCCACTGAATCTTCACTGTTCACCCCTGTTCAAAAAGACAATGACAGGTACAAGAGATCATTATTAGTTCAGCATTTTCCATAGATTTTCTTTCATTTTCATACACCCTTAGGAATCCCTGGACTGAGTCTTTTCCTCCCCCATATCCTTCTAGGAAATGACAGCTAGCAATCTCTGTTCCCACTTCAAGAGACCCCAAACTTACAGCTCCGGTGAAGAGAGAGAATCATTAATGCAACCATCAAGTGTTTCTCCATTTCCCCAACTTTTTTCTTAACAGCCCTGAGCACTCAGTTTTTTCAGCCTGGGATACCAGAGTCCCACAGTCAAAGTGTCTTTTCTTCTGCCTTAGACGTTTCTTTTTCTTCTTCTTCTTCTTCTTCTTCTTCTTCTTCTTCTTCTTCTTCTTCAAGTCCCCTGGGGATTTTCGACCTTACTTCTGTCTGGCCAACCACAGCTGCTTGCTGTCTCATATACTACATGTATTCAGTCCTTCCCACTCTCTGCAGCAGAGCTATGGTATTCAGGGAAGAGGAGTTCTGAAAATGGAAGCATTGCCCCCTTCTGGCCAGATAGAGAATGACTAACAAAATGTCTTCACTTCATTGACCCCGTTAATCCTTCCAAACAAACACATTTTTGGTGGAGTTAAAACTGTCAGTAAATGACCATGGTAAGTGAATAAAACACATGAATAGAGTGTAGTATTGATATCAAATAAAACTTTCACCCAAGCAAATGTGATATCTTTAATTACACGCATGATCATTTTTTTTGTATTGCATGGTAAAGGTATGTGGAAAGGAGTTCAACAAATAATTAATTAGTATCGCTTTACTTTAATTCTTAGTATGAATCTGTGAGTTTGTGAGTATGGATCTTCTCTTTACAACCCTTTCACACTGTATCTGTGAGTCCTTTTTGCCCATGTATTTCCATAAATCCTCCATTAGAGAACTACTTAAAATGCTGGAAGACTGATTTTGCTTTTCATATCTTTGAGATAAAAATGCATCTGTCAGACAAACTATCTGCTGTCCCTTGTCCCTTGCTATGTCTTCTCTTCCAGTCATGCACATCTCTGATCAGGTCACTTATACTACTTTATATACAGAGTTAGAGTTAAGAGGTACCTTAGATATCACTAATTGACTCCTTCACTTTACTGATGAAGAAACGGAGAAATTACACAGGTTAAGTGACTTGCCTGTGTCCACACAGTTAAAAGTATCAGTGTGAAGTGGCTGAAAGGTTGGGGATATACATAGGAATAATTCAATCATAGGATCATGACTTAGCTAATCTGGTCCTTGGGTAACAGGCATATAGTTTATCAGTGGGTCCATATTAAAAGCCTTTCCAGCTTTGTTGGAGCTGCCTGAGCTGGCATAACAATCAAGAAAGAACCCGACATCAGCTGTATCTCATACAGTGAGGATTTTCTATTACAAAAATAATCAATGCTTTTTCATTTCCATTGATTCAGTTTTGTAGGCGTGTATATAAATCTCAAATAAAATGGGTATATCATTGTATTTATTCCCCTTGTCTATCTCCCAATTAGAATCAAAATACCAATACATTTATTACACCTACACATGCACACACATACAATCATAGGACCACAAATCTGGGATTAGAAAAGACCCTTTATGTTCTTGACATCACGGTTTGCTCTTGTGTATAACAATAGAGTGATCTGTAAGGCAAACAACTGTCATGGCATATAGAGTGCAGGTCTTGAAATCAGGAAGAATTAAGTTCAAATACTGCCTCAAATACTTATTAGCCACATAGCCTTAGGTAAATCACTTAACCTTAAACTCACTTTCCTCATCTATAAAATGAGGTTAATTATAGCATCAACTTCATAGTGCTGTTGTGAGAATCAAATGAGATCACATAAGTAAAAGGTGATATAAATACTTGTAGTTATTATCTGCTTATTGGTAAGTGTGAAATGTATCCACCACTAAGAAAGAACTTATTATAGACTAGTCACTTGTTTAGACCCTGCTCTGTATGAGTGTGAGGTTCAAGGCTATTGTAAAAAAAATTTTTTTTAAATATGCTCCTCACTTTCAAGTTACTTTTGGTAACATGCTATAGTCTACTTACTTTCACTATGCCTATTCTCTTTGCCCTTTGAATTATTTGTAATTTTGAATCTTGCGTAATGTGCAACCATTTAGTTTTAGCAGGAAAACATTGTTGACAAAGGTATGAGTTTTCAACATCTCACACCACATACCAAGTTAAGGTCAAAATGAGTGCATGATTGAGAGATAAAAGATAACATCATAAGCAAATTAGGGGAGTATGGAGAAACTTACCTGTCACATTTATGGATAGGGGAAGAGTTTATGACCAAACAAGAGATAGAGAGGATCCAGGGAAATTAAAATGGATAATTTTGACTACATGAGATTAAAAAGATTTTGCACAAACCAATTAAAGCCAAAATTATAAGGAAACTGTGGAGAAAAAGCACATCAAATTTCTTTGATAAAGTCTTATTTCTCAAGTATATGAGGAACCAAACCAAATTTATAAAAATAAGAGCCATTTCCCAATTGATAACTGGTCAAAAGATATGAACAGGTAGTTTTCAGAAGAGGAAATCAAAGCTATCAAAAATGCTTTAAATTAGAAGTTAGATTAGGGAAAAACACATTAAAACAACTTTGAGGTACCACATCACACCTATCAGGTTGGTTCATATGACAGAAAAAGAAAATGACAAATGCTGAAGGTAATGTGTAAAAATTGGTACACTAATGTACTCATGGTGGAGCTGTGAATTGGTCCTACCATTCTGGAGAATGATTTGGAACTACATCCAAAATGCTATAAAACTGCATCTACTCTTTGACCCAAAAATATCTCTACTAAATTTGTGTCCCAAAAAGATCAAAGAAAAAGCAAACAGACCTAGTTGTACAAAAGTATTTGTAACAACTCTTTTTATGATGGCAAAGAATTGGACATTGAGGGAATATCCATCAATTGGTGAATAGCTGAACAAGCTGTGGTATATGATTGTGATGAAATACTACTATGCTATAAGAAATGACAAGAGTAATGGTTTAAAAAAAAAGCTGGGAAGACTTATACGAACTAATGCAATGTGAAGTGAGCAGAACCAGGAGAACATTTTAAACAGTAATGGCAATATTATAACAATGATCTATTGTGAAAGACTTGGCTTCTCTAATCAATGCAGTGATCCAAGACAATTCCAAAGGGCTCACAATAAAAAATGCTAACCACCTCCAGAAAGAGAACTGATGAACTCTGAGTACAAATTGAAGCATACTTTTTTCACTTCATTTTTCTTGCTTTTTTTTCAACATAGGTAATATGGAACTGTTTTTTTTTTATGACTTCACATGTATAATTGATGTCATATTGCTTGCCTTCTCAATGACTGGAGAGAGGGAAAAAATTTAAAACTCAATTTGTTTAAATGAATGATAAAATAAAGTATATTTTAGAAAGTAAAGGTATAGGTTTTGAAACAGACAACTGTTTGGATCATTGAAAATATAATGCAGTTTCTCCAGTGCAATGATGATCATGTCTACCTAACAATCAGTTCTGGGCCCGGGTCATTATGTACCTTCAGGGATAGGTGCATCCAGGTCACTACCATCAAGTACATGTGGACATATTTTTCTTCCAGCTACATGTTATAGTCTGGGCAATATCATATCATAATCTAATGGGTCATAAGATTTAACATTGAAAGAGATCATTCAGATCATCTAATAGTACAACCACCTCATTTTACAGAAGAGGAAATTGAAGCCTGGAAAGATAAAGTAATTTACCAAAATGGCACTGGCAAGTAGCAAAGACAAGAATCAGTCTCAGGACTCTGATCCCAAATTCAGTTCTGTCTGCTCTTCACTGTGTCATATTTTCTCAGGAGAATGGTTTTTTCTCAGGAGAATGGTTAGACCAATTTTTTGTCCTGTTAAGGATTTTAATGGGGTCATTTGGTAGAAAATTATTTTTTTGATCACAGCAACAAATGAACACATTGACCAAGAAAACAAAATATATTTCAGATCAACTAGAAGATCAGATTGCTTTAGAATGCAGGAAAGTAAGATAGAATTGGTGTCCTCAACTCTGTTTGGAATCATGGTTTCAGATTTGGAAATGTACCTGGATATGTCAATTCAAACCATTTATTTTAACTGGGGTAGCAGTAGGTCTCTGGTGGATCAAATGAGACAATATTTTTATAGCACTTAGCATAATACCTGACATATAGCAGGCAGTTAACAAATGCCAATTCACTTCCCCCTTCCCTCACCTGCTCAACTCTGGACCACCTTGCTCTTTCTGTAGTTTGGTGGTCTGTTTTAAATAATCAACTATTCAAAACCACAGTCTGAGTTCTTGCCAATATCTTTTTATGCCAAGCCATGCAAATGCTATGAGTATTCAGAAGGCATTGAATTAAAATAGAATAGAAAGGCAAATAACAAGGAATTGAATCAGGCAGTAAATGTTCTCTGTGCCCATACCCCAAATGACTTCTATTTCCCATGGCATCAAGGGAGTGATAATCAAATTCCTCCTTAGTCCTTCTATTTTTCCACTGTATAGAAAGTAGGATAAAGTCAATTCCAACTCAAGTTACCATGGTGAGGTTTAAGGTCTAATGCCAACTTCCTCCTGACTTTCTTTTCTGACAGTTTCAGCATAGTTAGCTAGTGAATTTTTTTGCCACAAGGATGGATGAACATGAAAGCTTCTTGGCTTATCATCACACCATATCCTGGTTGTACTGCCTAGGGTCTTCTACATAGATGTTCATGGAGTTGTTACTAGCTTTAGAATTGAGAACATTTCTTAATCTTTCTATTTTTCATCTTCATATGAGAATGAATGAAAAAAAAATATGAAAAATAAAATAAAATATAAAATAAATATATATAATATATAAATATAATATAATATGTAAATATATAAATAAAAAATAAAATGAAAAAGTATTAATTGCTTACTATGTGCCAAGCACTGTGCTATGCACTGGAGATACAAAGACAAAAGCAAAGATAATCCCAGTCCTCAAGTAGCTTACATTCCAATAGGGGAGATAACACATATAAGAGAGTGGTGACGTGGGAAGAGTATTTAGGTTTGGAAAATAATAAACAAAATTACAATGGGGAATAGATTGTCATACCTTTTCTAAATGACAGAATTGGTTTTACTTTTTATCTAGAACTAAAAAAAACAGTGAGTGTGGATAGATAGTGTACATGGTTGGGGCAGGACTTAAATGTAGTGGGCAAATGCATTGACTGCCAAAATTGACAATGTAGCCCTACACAGAAATTTTAGTAATTAAAAGAGGAAA